TCACTGGTCCTCATTGAGCCTCAGTCACCTCCCTGCCCCTTGCCCACCTCCTGCCCTAGGCCCTGTTTGACTTCACTGGTAACAGCAAGCTGGAGTTGAACTTCAAAGCCGGCGACGTGATCTTCCTTCTCAGCCGAATCAACAAGGACTGGCTGGAGGTGAGGTGGGCTTGCTGCGGGTGGGAGCGGAGCCCAGGAGGGCCCGGAAGTCTTGCGGGACAAGAAGGCCCTGGAGGGATGTGGTGGGAGAGGGGCACACGAGGGAACACGTGTGGAAGGCATGGAAGACTCCGGAGATGACACCCAAACCAGACTCCAAATTCATCGTCACGAAGTCCACGCTGACCCACGGTGACCCCACAGGACAGGGGAAAACTGTCCCTATGGGTTTCCATGGCTGTGAATCTTTACAGGAGCAGAAAGCCTGCCTCCTCTTTCTCCCAAAGAGCAGCTTGTGGGTTCGAACTGTGGACTTTGCAGTTAGCAGCCTAGTGCGTTACCCACTGTGCTCCAGGGCCCACAGGGCAGACACCTCTGTCTTCAGTTTTAACCTCAACTAACAGGCCACTTCTGGGGGGTCAGTGAACCCTCTGTGTGCACTTGCTCGGCTCAGCAGGGTTCTCAGCCTGGGCACTGTTGGCACGGGGACCGGTCTTGGCTGTGGGGCTGCTTCTGGGTATTCTGAGATGTTTAGCAGCATCTTAAAGCCAGGCACAACTCCCATCCCCACCCCCTTTCAGCTTTAGGAATCAAATTATGTCTCCAGACATCCATCCCCTGTTGACAGCCACTTGTTCTAACATGGGGTGGGTATCATAAACCTTGCAGCTATAATAGGGAGCGGGGGGACACTTTGTACCATGCAGTTGTAACACAGGGGTGACACTATGTACCTTGCAAGCACCAAGAAAAGGTGGTGATTAAGAATGCCACCCTGGCATCTGCCCGTCTGGGGGCATAGCCTAGCTCCATGCTAAACTAACTCTATACCCTGGAGAAAGGCGCCCTGGCAGTCTGCTAACCGCGAGGTCCGTCGCTGGAAACCACGGTCGCTCCGAGGGAGAACGGTGAGACTTATTTTCCCATAAACAGCGACAGGCTCAGAACCCCACAGGGCAGCTCTGCTCTGTCCCAAGGGTCGCTGTGAGCGAGACGTGACTCAATGACAGTGGGTGACCTTCAGAACCTTGCTCAACTGTGGTTTCCTTTTGTCTGTTGGGAGATAATACCGCCGTGTCTTCACAGAGAGCACTGGGTACCCGGGATCTGGCCCTAGGTGACCGTGGGGGATGTAGATGAGACTGTCCACAGCTAGGACCTGTCTCAGCCATGCTTTGTCCCAGCCCTCGGGGGTCCGTAGCTGGACCACGCTAACTCTGGAGATGAGGGGGATCACTGTGTAGAAGGCCTTCAGTCCTGCTTTGACAAGTGCCCAGGCAGAGACAGCCCAGGGGCCTGCGACCACCAGGAAGAGGGTCACGGCTTTGGTGTGCAGACAGCAGAGGGGGGCAAATCTAACCAACCTGAGGCAGTTTATGTTTTAGCCCTTGGTGGTGTAGTGGTTACACGCTGGGCTGCTAATCTCAAGGTCAGTGGCTTGACATTCCCAGCCACTCCATGGGAGAAAGATGGGGTTTCCTGCCCCCGGGAGGTTCGACAGTTTTGGAAACCTACAGGGGCAGCGCTCCTCTGTCCTACGGGGTTGCTCCCAGTTCGCATGGACTCAAGGGCAGTGCGTTCAGTTCCATTGGGAGTTCTCGCAAGGACGCAGCAGCCTCAAGGCCACCAGAGGGCTATTTCCGGGTCATTTTCCAGCGCCAGGAAATGTTTGCTGTCTTCCTGTTTTCTGGAAAGTCCTGTGGATCAGCTCACAGGATGCACTGCACGCAGGGTCAATCTGCTGCAGGAGACCTCTTTGAAGTGCTGACCAGCGAGGAGGCTACTTTGAGGCCTAGGGTGGGCCTGACCCAAGCAGGGTATTTTCAATCGCCTGATATGCCTCTGAAAGGTGGGCCTTGAATAAGGAGACAGAGAAGAATTGAGGTCTTTGGACCGTGGTGCTGGCAAAGATGTGGTGCTGCCCGAGGAATGATCAAATCTATGGTGAAAGAAATTCAGCCAGATGCTCCTGCCAAGGGGGCCAAACCTCACCTCAGGTCCCTTGGGCCTGGCATCAGGCAAGACCAGGCCCTGGAGAGGGGCATCGTGCTGGGGAAAGTAGAAGGGCAGTGGATGCGGAAGGCCCTCCGTGAGATGGACGGACCCCGCGGCTACCACGAGGGGCTCAGCCGTCAAACTTGTGAGGATGGCGCAGGGCCGTTCTGTTGTGTACGGGTCGCTACCAGCCGGAACCGACTCCAGGGCCTCACACGACAACTACGGGTGGGTCTGCTGGTGAAGGGCAGGGGCGGCGTGCTGGGCCTCAGTTGATACAACTCTATCGTGAGGGAGTCAATGCCGCAGCCCCACAGGGAGGTTGTGAGGATTAAGAGAAAGTATATCCCAAGCACAGGCCAGGCTCAGGGTCAGGAGAGCGGCCCGGGCCGGGAGCAGTGGCTGTCTGATGGCTTGGTGGGGAGCAGATGCCTGGGTACTGGGGATTGAGGGATTGAGTGAGTGAGGGAGGATCTGCCCCCGCCACACACACTGCTTGGGCCCTCCCCCACCCCTCACTCACCTTCCCTGCTCAGCTTTGCTCCTTATCGTCCCCCTCATCAGGCCCACTGAGCATGGTTGTACCTGCGTCCACTGCCTCCCTCCCAAGGATGGAAGCCCCAGGAGGGCAGGGGGCCTCTACCTTCACTGGCTGGTTCATACCAAGTCTTGGTTGAATGAATGAATGAGTGAGTGAGGAAATGCCTGAAGGGATGACCGTGGCTTTGCCGGTCTGTTCAGGGCTCGAGCCTTTGTATAACAGAACACAATTCGTGGGCTGAATAACGTGGCCACTTGCTTACCTCTCCTCCTCGCTCGAACCAAGAGACCCAGACGTCCTTGCCTGCCTTTTCCCCACCGGTGGGAAAGGGCTGGGCGCTCTGACGTGGGGCGGCACGGCCCTCCTCATGGCAGCTCCCTCCCCAGGGCAGTGTCCGGGGCACCACGGGCATCTTCCCGCGGTCCTTCGTGAAGGTCCTCAAGGACTTCCCCGAGGAAGATGACCCCACCAACTGGCTGCGCTGCTACTACTATGAAGACACCATCAGCACCATCAAGTGGGTGGCCTGCTGGGTGGGAGGGGGCGGGACCACCCTCCCTGCCCACCCAGCCCTCGCCCCTCCTGCCCAGGCCCCCGACCACCACCCCCATTCCACTTCAGACCCAAACGCCCAACCTCACGTTGCTCCTCCTACTGAAAACCTGCCGTGGCTCCCGCTGTCCACCAAAGGAACCAGAATGCTGACCCTTCACTCCCAGCCCATTGCCCCCTTAGGGACATCGCAGTGGAGGAAGACCTCAGCAGCACCCCACGGTTCAAAGACCTGCTGGAGCTCATGAGGTGAGGGCGGGGGACTGGGACCCAGGTGGCGTATGAAGGGGCCGGGCGTCCGCCACCCCGTCCACTCCACTCTGAGCAGGCAGCTCCTCAGGGTGAAGAGTTGACATGTCCTTCAACCTGAGGGCCCATTGTCCCGCACCGTGTCCCTCAACATTCTGCTGCCACTCATTCAGGCCTTCAGTCCCTGACCACGATTTTAGATGTTAGAACTTGCAAGATTTTAGAACGTCCTCCGAAGCAGGCAGCTGATCTCCTCTTCACTGTGTGCTTAGGCTGGAAGTTCTGCTGAAACCCGTTCCCTTAGGGCGACCCTGCTGGCATGGCACATGCCCAGTGCCAGCATCACACAGCAACCCACAAGCCACCACAGTGTGGCAAACCTGCAGGCGCGCGGCAGCCGCGTGGTAGAGTAGAACTGCCCTGCAGGGCTTTCTTTACAGAGGCAGACAGACCACCAGGCCTTTCTTCCGTGGCACCGCTGGGAAGATGTGGCGCGCCAACTCTCAGACTAGTGGCCGAGCACTCTCGTTGTGCATTTCTCTGTTTTCCTCTGGAGAGGTTTTGATTCTGAGAATCTGAAGTCCAGACAAAGGAGGCTGAGCGCCGAGCAGGCTGAAGGCGAAGGGCCTTCACTAACGCCACGCCATTTGTGAGCGCGGGTTTCCGGCTAGAACCACTGTCTCACTAAAAGCCTTCCAATCGGACCCTCCTCTCAGGGAACCCCGGACTCCCAAGATCCAGTTACTTCACAGCCCCCCAAAAGCATCGTTCCATTTCTGACTGTAAAGGTCACAATGTCCTCTCTTTATAACCGGCTATGGGCACCAGCCTGTGCCCCTACTGGAGTTAACGGAGCACCCCCTTTGGTTGCCCACGTACACTTCTGTGTTTCATGCTTTTACTCCAGGCAGTCCCAGAAGATGAGCAAGCGCTGTCTTTTGGTTGAGCTTGTGCCTAAGTTGGAATCATCGGGTTCATATTTAATATCAGCCAGGCAGATGTGTGTCCTCACTCACTGTCATTCAGTGCAGTCAAACTCACGGGGACCCTGTAGGGCCGGGGAGAACCACCCCGTGGGAGTCTCTGAGATTGTGACTCTTTCCAGGAGTAGAAAGACGAGGCTTTCTGGTGGTTTTGAACCTCTGATCTTGTGGTTGGCAGACAGCAAGTGGGTTCCATGTTGGGCTGCTGAGCATAGGGTCCGTAGTTTGAGTCCACCAGCTGCTCTGTGGGAGACAAGTGAGGCTTCCTACTCCCAAATTGACAGTCTTAGAAACCCAGAGGGACTGTGTGGTATCGGACCATCGGGTCCCTGTGAATTAGCATATAGCATATTGTGTGCATGTGTGTGCATAGGCAACATTAAAGAAACACATCCAGACCCGCTAAAGCACTGTTGACATAATAGAGCAATCATCATTGTTATGGTTTGGTGCATGTCCCGAAGTCATGCCCATTGTAATGACGGTGAGCTACCGTGTGTACTGCACACTGTTCATATAGGCTGGGTCCTAACTGTCTGTAAGTCAGACGTTCAGAACCCAGCGAACACTGTTATTCCAAGCCACGTGGGTGTCCCTGTGTGGTGCACATGGTTAACCCATTTGGCTGCTGATTGGAAGGCTGAAAGTTCAAAGTCTACCCAGGGGAGTCTCAGAAGAAAGTCCTGGGATCTACTTAGAGCCAAACCCAACCAAGCACAGGGCCACCGAGGATCCTCGGAGCACGGGTCTGCCGTGCCACATGCGGGGTGCCAGGAAGCAGTTGGCTTGATGGCAGCTGGGTTTGGTTTGGTTTTAAATGAGCCATGCTGCGGTGACCATCCTGGTTCACCCATGCCATGGCTTGACTGATCCTTTTCTGAGGTCCCTGACCTAGAAGTGGAGTTGGGCATCAAAGACCCAGCAAGTCTGGCAGGCCTCTGGTTCTGTTTTGCCCACTTACCTATCAGAAGGTTGGGCTTGTTTTCGCTTCTTCCAGCCAATAGAGGATTGTCCACCTTCCTGCCTGCCCCCACATTGGACAGTTACCACCCTACAGAGCATCCTCCTCCTTACCTGCACGCAGGTGTCTTCTAGGACCTTGATTTGCTCCACTCTGTACAGACCCAGCCAAGTGTCCTGCCCTCTCCTGCTGATCTTTGTGTAACCTTTACCCCCTCACCTCTTATGCCAGGCGGGAGTTCCAGAAGGAGGACATTGCCCTGAATTTCCGGGATGCTGAGGGGGACCTGGTGCGGCTGCTTTCCAATGAGGATGTGGGGCTGATGGTGAGGCAGGCCCGAGGCCTCCCCTCCCAGAAGCGCCTCTTCCCCTGGAAACTGCACATCACCCAGAAAGACGACTACAAGGTCTACCACACCGTTCCCTGAGGGAAGACCGGGTGCCTCCGAAAGAGCCCTCGACCCTCAGAGGGGACCAGCACCAGGAATGCTGGGGGGAGGGGACCCTCATTCCAGTCCTGGTCTGGGCTTCGTTGGGCTTGGCTCTCTCTCTTGCATGCTCTGTTTCCACATTTTATCTATGAATTGAATAAACATTGTTGCCTCCAAGGGCGAGATTGGAGAAAGCAATGTCTTTTGAGAGGAAGTAAAACACCATGATATGTCCATCTAGAGGGGCCCATTTTCATATAGAAGGGGGCTCCCATTTGGGCCCCCATTCACCCTCCCCACTCCCTGTCTGTCTACATTTGGGGGAGAAACCGGGCCAACAATCTTGTCCTGCTGTTTGTTTCCCATTTGCCCCCATGGCCTCCCTCCGCTCCTCTGTTCCTGAAGTCTGCTGTCTCTCAGCAGCCCCTGCCCCTAAGCAAACAGAGAATGGGACTTAGGTCCCTCCCTCCAGCAGTGAAAACCCAAACCCAAGGCCACTGCGATCAAGCTGATGCGGACCTAGCACAGGGTAGAATTGCTCTTGTGGATTTCTGAGATGGAAACTCTTTGGGGGATAGAAAGCCTCATTATTCTCCTGGTGGCTGATCGGCTGGTGGGTTAAAACTGCCGACCTTCTGGTTAGCAGCCAGAGGTGCATAACCACTATCCTGCCTGGGCTCCTGCCTCCAAAATAGGCGTCAGGTCTAAAGACACGCCCCCCTCGAGTCCTGTAACAGAGGATTGAAATGGATGAATGGAAACAAACGTGCATAGATTGTCTAAAAATCACGATTTGCTCTCTAACCTTCATCTAATACACACACACACACACACACACACACAAGTCTAAATGAAAGTCTCTGCCTTGGAGTGTTATAAAAATGAATAGGTGGAGATATTGCTGGGCAGAAATTAATCAGGGGTTGGCAGCTTCCTGCAACTGGTAGCCACTAGTGGAAAGGCAGCTCATCCACTGGAGCTCATCCCTATGGGTCTGGAAGGCTGTGCAGGCCAGACTGCACCCTCTCAGGGGAGCGTGGAGCAGACCACGGGAAGACCCGAAAGCCTTCCGTAAGCCACGAGCAGGATCCATCAGCAAATTGGAGGCCTTCCTAATCAAGAGGCAGAAGCTGCCCTCTGAGGAAACGCTGGCAGAACCACGAGCCGCTCTGGCCCAGAGAGGACCGGCCCCATCCGTGAAGACAGGCTCACACCTATTGTGCTGGTCTAGAAGGCGGAGCATGCCCAAGGGAGCTTCCTCTCAGGAGCCAATACAATGAAACACACAACTTACTGGAGGGACTCCACAGCAGATTTGAGCTTGTCCAAGAAAGACCCTGCCGCCTTGAAGCGAGGTCACTAGAGGTGATGCGGCCTGAGGAAGAAAGGATGAATTCTAAGGTAGAGGAATGTATACATCATGAAATGCACCAATAGTCGTGCAAGAGAAGTAGGGAAAGAAGGAGAGAGCGGAAGGGACAGTGAAAAAAATGTCATGACAAGCACCCACCTGCACATCCGCAAAGCTCAATAAACTCCAAGCACAATAAAGCAAAGAGATCCATGCCCAGACCAAATCACCATGATCCCACCCAGAGAAAACAGAAGCTTGAAAACAGCAAAAGGAAGTCCATAGAACTTCCAAGTTCATAGAACTCATCAAGTTCATGGAAATCAGAATGAGATCAACAGCTGACGTCCTATCAGAAGTACCCGAGACCAGAATGACTCACTCAACGCGCTATCAAAACAAAGCAAAATAAAACTGTTGACCAGCACTCCTATTTATGGAATGCGATATGTGGAAAAGAAAGGCCCGATGTGGACCGACCCAGATATAAAACGAACTGAGAAAATGCATTGCTCAGCAGACTTGCCTCATAAAAGCGATGGCCGGAAGTTCTTCCGAGTGAAAGACAGTCACACCAGCCAATGACTCTCTCTCTCTCTCTCTCTCACACACACACACACACAGAATCCGGATAAGCATAGTTAGGCGCAAGCCCTGGTGGTGTAATGCTTAGGTGCTTGGCTGCTAACCACAAGGCCAGTGGTTTAAACGCATCCATAGGAGAGTCCTGGCCAGCAGCTCCGATCAAGGTCAACCCCAAACTCGCTGCCAGCCAGTCCATCTGGACGCACAGTGGCCTTGTAGGACAGGGTGGAACTGCTCCTGTG